ACATACACACACACACACACACACACACATATATATATATCACTTAGTGCTGTTAAGGTCAACGAAACAGTGTGCGGCAAACTAAATTAATATTGAACAAAACTAAGCTCATAGTGATTTGTGTTATGAGATATCAATAATTTGCAAAACTCAAACAATTCAAGATATATATTGATGATACAAAGTCACTTTCTGAAAATCGTAGGTATCCCAACTGCACAAAGAGTAGGTGCTTAGCATTTTCGTGGGGTGCATTCTGGCAGCCAGTTATCTCAGGACAGAATTCAAGTCCTTGGGAAACTCTGGTGCTATGCTAAAATTAGTTTTCAATTCTGAAATCTTTAAAAATGATAGCCCATGACAATGGCCCGTAAGGATGAGGGAAGGCCTTATATGCTTGAGTCTGCAGCTCATCAGGAAGGAAGCCCTCTGTAAGCCTCCAGTGGGCAGCAGGCCATCTGAAAATGCTTATGGGTAGTCACCATCTTCTAAGAGGCTCTTATTTACATGCTGTGGGTGCACCATGGTGGGAAGTATTCAGTTGACTGGGGAGGAGGGTTGGTAGACTTCTGTTTTTTATTGCAGAAAATATACATAACACAAAATTGCTGTTTGTATGTTCTCCTTGTCTGTTGTCCTCTGATCCTATCCATGTGACTTTGCGTTCAGGTCTCTGCAGACATCTATTCTAGGCTGAGGAAGGCAAACATTGCAGATGTGGACTATGACGACACTACGTAAGGTGATGGAAGACTCTGCTCTTCAAAACCCATCCATGCCCGAGCCTCAGACCAATAGGATCTTCACAGATTCTCAGGAGTCAGATTTCCAATCTACCTCATCCACATGCTTTTTTTCTGTGAGAAAATCCCTTCATCGACTGTGAAGTGAAGTTGGCACAAGTCCTGAAGAAACCACCCAGGAGAACCAACATAGACCAAGGACAGGGAAGGATTCTGTTACCAGAAACTGACTCCTGTTTATTTTTATTTTTTTTGGGGGGGCAGGGGTCGAATTGTGAATTTCTGTCTCTCTCTCTTTTTTTTTTTTGCAAGAGGAAACAGGGTGAAATAAAAGAAGTGAGCTATTGGAGAGGAGGACAAGTCACTGAAAGTGGACGCCAAGGTGAGCGATTTCGCATGACTGCTCTGCAGAGAGAGCTGGTCTGTGGATCTGTACAAGAGCACACAGTCCCGAGCCTCCATAGTGCTGTTTGCCTCAACTGTCCTCTTTCCACCTAAAATATCGTATCCAGTGCATTTTGAAGCACCATTATCCAATTAGAATTAAAACATTTACATAAGAATTTATTGCATTTGCACTCGATCTTAATGACATAGTTTGCGTAACAGGCCAATCTCAACACCTCCATACTAGTCTTTGTGTCACAGTCCTGAGTTCTGTCTGTTGAAGCCTCTAGATGCTTTATGAACACAGTGCTACTTCTTCCATCTTCACACTCTTTGAAAACATGGTAACATACCTTGGAACCTGTTTTAATTTTTGAATCAAGCATGTGCTCATCCATAAATTTAACCAATATAGGGATATACAAAGTAAAACAATAAAATAAAATGAAACTTGCTCTATAAGCCAATACCACAAATGGCAAGTTTTGTTTTAGTTTCATTTTATTTTTGTCTGTGGTTCTGGGGATTGAATCCAGGGCTTTGTGGATGCTGGCCAAGTGCTCAAGTCCAAGCCACATCTTCATGCCCACAAATGTCAAGATTTTTTTTTTTTAAAGCTTATGTATGGGGCTGGGGATGTGGCTCAAGCGGTAGCGTGCTCGCCTGGCATGCGCGGCCCGGGTTCCATCCTCAGCACCACATACCAACAAAGATGTTGTGTCCGCCGAAAACTAAAAAAATAAATACTAAAAAATTCTCTCTTTCTCTCCCTCTCTCACTCTCTCTTTAAAAAAAAAAAAGAAAAGAAAAAAGCTTATGTATTTCTCCAGTTACATACATATAGATACCTAAAAGCATGCCTATTTAATAAGCTATGAAATACTTCAAAATCTGTATATAGAGATCCTTATGCCATTTTAAAAGTCTGTATAGTATTCTGTTGTATAGCTAAGTCATAATGTACTTTGTTTTTTGTTGCAGAAAATATACATAACACAAAATTGATCATTTCAACAATTTTTAAGTGTATAATTCAGCGGCATTAAGTATTATAACATCATTTAATTCTTTTGCTTAGTGATGAATATTACAGTGGTTTCCAAAATTTTATATTATAAACACAAAGCTCAAATGTCTTTATATAAGCATACTGATATACTCCTGCTAGATTATCTAAATTTGTAAATTTGGGATTACTGCATCTTAGATTATATGCATTAAATAAATATTTTTGTCTTCTTAAGTTTCTTCCAGTGAGGCTGCACCAATTTACATACCCACCAACAATGTATGAGAGAATCAATTTGTGGGGAAAGGTATCATTGTTAATTCAATTTATTTTTCAAAATTATTTATGTGGTTGGGGACTATTCCATAAATTCACTGTTAATTTATAGTTCTTCAAAGAGTTTCTTGTGTTTAGTCTTTGCCCATTTTTTATGCATTGTTTCTTCTTATAGCTGTTATAGGAACTATATATCAAGGCATAATTTATGTGCAGTGAAATGCACATATTGCATGTGCATAACTTAATAGGCACACACATCTGAGACTTCCAAACCTCTATCATGATATGGAATTTTTCATCCAGAAAGTTTCCTCATTCTCACACCCAATTTCTTCTCCTCTCAAAAACAATGACTGAATTATGTGTCTTTGGTCCATTTCCCCGTTGTGTGTGATGCAAATGTTTATGTCTCGTTATTCATTTTATGTTTTGTTTATAAGGAATTTTAAAATATAGAAGGCTAGTTTTCCTACAGCTATTCTTCACAGAACTAGAAAAATCAGTCCTTACGTTCATTTGGAAGAATAAGAGACCCAGAATAGCCAAAACAACCCTGAATAAGAAAAGTGATGCAGGAGACATCATAATACTTGATCTCAAATTATACTACTCAGCTATAGTGACAAAACAACATGGTATTGGCATCCAAGTAGACATGGAAGTCAATGGAATAGAATAGAAGACTCAGAGACAAAGCCACATAATTGCAATCATCTGATACTTCACAAAAGTCCCAAATACATATGTTGGAGAAACGATAGCTTTTTTTCATTTTTAAGTTTGTTCTTTTTAGTTATATATGACAGTAGAATGTATTTTGACTTATTATACATACATGGAGTATAGCTTCCCATTCTTGTGGTGGTACATGATGTGGAGTCACACTGGTCATGTATTCACATATGAACACAGAAAAGTTATGTCTGATTCATTTTATTGTCTTTCCTATTCCCATTCCCCTCCCTTCCCTTCATTCTCCTATGTCTAATCCAGTGAACTTCTATTCTCCCCTCTCCCACCCCTTATTGTGTGTTAGAATCTTCATATCAGAGAGAACATTTGGCCTTGGGTTTTTTGGGATTGGCTTATTTCACTTAGCATGATAGTTTCCAATTCCATTAATTTACCAGCAAAGGTCATAATTTCATTCTTCCCTATGACTGAGTAATATTCCATTGTGTATATATATTACACTTTAAATAGCCTTTTTAACAACTGGTGCTGGGGAAACTGGGTAACTATATGTAGATGAATGAAACTACGTCCCTGTTTCTCACCCTGCAAAGAGGGCAAATCAAAATGAATCAAAGACTTAGGAATCAGACCATAAACCTTACAACTGCTAGAAGAAAACATAGGGTCAACACTCCATCATACAAGTACAGGCATTGACTTTCTCAACAAGATCTCTAAAGCTTAAGAAATAAAACCAAGAATCAGTAAGTGGGGTGTCATCAAATTAAAAAAAAAAAACACTTTGCACAGGAGATAAAATGATTAAGAGAGTGAAGAGGGAGTGTACAGAATGGGAGAAAATCTTTGCCAGCCACTCCTCTGCCAGGAGGTTAGTATCAAGAATATATAAAGAACTCAGAAAACTCAATGCAAAACAAAACACAAAAGAATCTAATCAATAAGCAGACAAAGGAACTAAACAAAAGTTTCTCAAACAAAGAAACATAAATGGCCAACAAACAAATAAAAAAATGTTCAATATCTCTAGGAATCACAAATTAAAACTGCATTAAGATTTTCTCTCTCTCTAGACAGAACGGCAATTATCAGGAAGATGAATAATAATAAATGCTTGGTGAGGATGTGGGGAGGAAGGTACACTCATAAATGGTTGGTGGGACAGCAAATTAGTACGACCACTTTGCAAAGCAGTGTGGAGACTACTCAAAAAACTAGGAATGGAACTACCATGTGACCCAGCTATCCCACTCCTTGGGATTTATCCAAAAGTACTAAAATTGGAATACTGCAGTGATACAGCCACTGCAATGTTTACAGAGGCACAATTCACAATAGCCAAATTATGGAATCAACTCAGCTGCCTGTCAATAGATTAATGGACCAAGAAATTGTGGTATATATACACAATGGAGCTTTACTCAGCCACACTATGCATAAATATAATGTTCTAATAAAAAAGAATAATAAAAATCTGAGTTAGGAGTTGAATCATATTTTTTCAAATATATAAATTGTCCACTATTATTTATTAAATAGTGTGGGTTTTTCCCCCTTTTATTTTTATGCTTCTTCATCTCATTCAAATTAGACACAATCCTGTGTTGGGCTCTACTATGTGAGGCCTTTCTACAACACACCCTCTTACATAAAGCCCATCAACACATCTGCCCCAGTTTCCTGAACATATCAGTGTGGTCCCAACTCTGCACTTTCTCCCACGCTTTGAACCTTCCTCTTGATGTTCTTGCTCTTTTTTCATTTTCTGTATTGAGTTTCTGTTTCTGGCCTATGGAAATTTTTAATTTTTCTATTTTAGGACATTTTGTCTGTCTTTGCTTATATTTGGAATTCTGGAGGAGGGGGAAAAAATCAAAGAATGAACTTGGACCATGGTGTGAGTAGAACTTTGAACATCTTTGTATGATCATCCCTTTACCTCAGTACTTAGCATTAACCCTAAGCATAGCTTTGTGCATTTCGGTCTGTATGTGAGTTCCTTCTTCATGAACTTGGAACATTCTGGTACTATTCCATAGGGCATATCATTTCCTTTGTCTAAGAAGTCCAAAAGTAGAATTTAAGATTTATAGATTAGTTTTGTTCTCAACAGTTTTAATATTCTATGTCATGAGTTTCTGGCTTCTAAGTTACCTTTGAGAAATCCCTTAATTTAATTATTCCTTTATAATTAATTGATCTTTTCTCTCTGGTTGCTTTTAAGATTTTCTGTCATTGGTATTATGCAGTTTCATGTGTCTAATCTGAATGTATTTTGCTTGAAGTTAGTAATTATTAAGTCTCGGGATACATTTCTTCTTGTTTAGAAAATATTTGATTTTTATCTCTTGATTTTTCTGCTGCCCCAATACTGTTTTAATTCTCTCCTTCAGTAATTCATATTTCTCATTATATGCTCTTAACTCTTGATTAGTCTCCTGAGTTTTTCATTTCTTTATCTTCCTTGTTGCATCCTGGGCAATTTCTTAATCTCTATCTTGTAGTTTACTAATTCTCTTTATCTGTACATAGTTTATATTTCAACCTATTTCTTTCCTATCCCAGAATTCACATTTTTTCTTGTGCGACATATTAATAGCTAACTGATTAAATCCATGGTCTGTATAGAAGGACTGTCTAGATCATATTTTGCCTCCACCATTTACTGGCCCTGAAGATTCAGTCAAAGAAATCAATCCTTGTTCCGTGCTGGTGGTAGCAGCTGTGGCTACTCTGCGCCTGGGTCTGAGAGGGATAGGAGTAGCTGGGGCCTCCACCAGCCTGAGCAGGGATTGGACCCAAGGGAACTCTACCACTGAGCCACATCCCCAGCCCTTTTTACTTTTATTTTGAGGGTCTCACTAAGTTGCCCAGGCTGGTCTTGAACTTATGATCCTCCTGCATGACAAAGACTACAGTCATACACACCACACCTATCTTCTGCACCTGTTTTTTCATTTATTCAACATAATTGATTTGAGGGTCTTCAAAAATGCATATCAGGCCATTGCTGCCTCTGATTCTGCTGGGGCTAGCCTGAGGTTGCATGGGGTACCCAAAGGACTTAAAATCAATGTACTATAGTGACCTAGCCACATCAATGTTTATAGCAGCTCAATTCACTATAGCTAGACTGTGGAACCAATCTAGGTGTCCCTCAATAGATGAATGGATAAAGAAAATGTGGTATATATACTTAATGGA